CATGCATTCAACAACAAAGAAGTCACCATTCGAAATATGGTATGGCTACGAGCCCCGAGGAATGCCAGAACTGTTTCCTCAGGATGAGATCCCCGATGTAGATGCAAGACTCAAGCTTCTTAGCATGGTCTGCAAGGAGGCCACAGAAGGAATCGTCAAGGCAAAAGCCCGTGTATCCACTAGAATCAAAGGAGGATCTCCGACGTTCAAGAAAGGAGACAAGGTCTGGCTGGAAGCCACCAATTTGAAAAGGCCTTACAAATCGAACAAGCTAGCGCCGAAGCGAGAAGGACCCTTTAGGATCAAGGAGGTTCTGGGACCTCTCTCGTTCAAGTTAGACCTTCCTGCGACATGGAAGATCCATCCAGTGTTCCATGCTGCGTTGCTTACGCCGTATTGGCAGACCAATACACATGGGGAAAGTTATTCCACACCGCCTCCGGATCTTATCGAAGGAGAGGAAGAATTTGAAATCGAGTCTATAATTGGACATCGACTACGGCGCAGCAAGAACGAAGATCTGGTAAAATGGGCTGGATATCCACTCAGTGAAAGGTCGTGGGTAAAAGAGACAGAAATGGGCAATGCAGGAGAGTTGCTGAATGAGTATAAAAAGGAGCATGACTTGGCCTGAATCCTCAGTCCATGCCCTCATGCCTGTGCAACACCCCGAGTTTCTCGAATCTGCTATCACCACTTTTGCGCATCTTATCGAAGTTCTCGAAGACGTCGAATCCCACTCCTCCCACGATCATCGTTACCAGGTCTTCCAACAGCTCGGAGTCTATCTCGCTATCAGAGGGGCTGGATTCGCCATCGAGGATCTTGCCGACTTCGACCATACCAACGTCGAGTTCAACATGACCCATCCAAGTCATGATGGACCATCTCATCCAGAGAGCGGATGACGTCCACGAAGTCCACCTCCTGGACGGCTTCAGGTCAACTCGACGACAGCCATATCTAACCCCTCACCCCAGCAGGCTAATCAGAATCCCTTATCCGTTTCCATTCCAAACGGACAAGCCGAAAGTAACGCTAGAGGACGACGTCGATATCGACCTAGACGGAACATGGGGAACGTTCATGAGAATGAACTACCCAATGTACCTAACGGAGGAACTCCACCTGCCCCGGCTAGAGCCAGATCGACGCCGGACTATCCTAACAGCCATCTACGCCGGTCTTCCAGTGGGAATCCTCCCACCATCGTACGCTCTAGATCATCCGATACACTTTGATATCTTACCGGCAGCACTCTCATTCGCTCTGGATGCATTCAGTGTCGTACACGGTACCGTATCGAGGACAATGACAATACCAGCGGAAGAATGTACGGGAATGGTGAACATTCATATCACGGACTGGTACGAAGAAGAAGAACGGCTGCTTGAAGGTATAAGTAGTGGCCCTCCTTTCCCTCTACTGGACCATCGCCTCCTCCTACTCGAGTGGGAACTCTACGAGGAAATCTACCCTTGGGATAAAGAGAATCGCCCTGCTCTGCCACCTCCACCAATGTCGCTCAACATCCGTGTCACCACCACCGTCACTCGTAGCGCATCCGAGCCAGGGCTCCTCATCGACAGTGACGGAGACGACATCCCGCTCCTGAACAACATTAGCAACGAAGCACTGGCCGAGTCATGGAGAAGTGCACGATGGGGAGACGATGAAGATGAGACAGGTCGTTGGACGACGGGAGGATCTTAGACGACGGGGAGACCTTGGGGTGGAGATGATGAACAGGCAAGGAGTGCCGACGATGAACAACCCGGCTACCCTCACCGTCCTGGTGCCACCTATCCCTACAACACCACACCTGAGGATGGATCACAACCTGCACTGGCGGACACCATCAAAGAGCAGATAAGGTATGCTCGAACGGTCAAGTCTTCGAGCAATCCAGCGGCAGGGCAGGTATCGCTCATCGCCCCGGACGCAGCATCACCTTACGATGTCTTCATCGCCACGCCCCTAACATTCCTCATGGAACGCGATGGCCATCGTCTCTACGTCCACCGTATGGGCACGGGCGACTTCGCCACCTTCCACGCCTTCGTCTTCACCTGGGACAACCAGAAGGTCGCCTGGCACCTTTACTCGGAAGACTCACCTCATCGCGTCTTCAGCCAATGGGTCACTCTGCTCTATTCGCCACCCATCCCAGGCATGCACGACTGGTATCCAACACCCAACCGGACGCGCATCCTCAGTGTTCGCTTCGTGGGTAAGGAAGAAGGTGTTGAACAGTACGAGGTCGAACTCTTCAGGACGTTCTCCGATCAAGTCCACTACGGAGACGCCAAGACCCCTCATGAGTTCACACCAGTCATCTTCCAGCCCCTCGTCACCATGATCGAGAAGCCTGGGTGGCTTACCGACGGGGTCAAGGCACTGAAGGCGGTCCTTTACGAAGATGGGTCCATCTCGCATTGGGCACCTACCGAGTTCAATCCTCAGCCTCAAGAGGATCTTGACACGAGCTGGGAGGTCGTACCCCACACCACCATCCCAGTCTATGGCTATGTGGGTGTCCGCGGAGGGCGATGATGGGTTAGTTTGGTGAGTGGTCGTCAAGGGTCTTGCCGGTTGGAAGGGGGAGCTTGTGTTACGGTTTCAGCACTTCATGGTCACGTGACAGTTTATGTTGCACGTGGCACTTACTATTTATGGTTCATAGGTCTTGTGGACATATGCTAGGGTTAGCAGTTTTCGTTTTTACGATTTACTCACTCAGGCCATGCAAACTAGACCTTCGTGTTTCAGGTTTCTATTTCACCTGTACTAACATTAGCTTGCCAATTACTTGGCTCACAGCAGTTAGTATTTGTCTC